TGGCTGCTCTTAGGCTTTTGTCTGTCAATCTCCCTTCCTTCCTCAACTCTTGGTTTGTGTGGGTTGCTTCGGAAACTCCCAGCCTTTCCAATGCTGAGCGGTGGTTCAGGTCAGTGGGGGCTGAGGGAAGCGGTGTTTACATTCCAAGATGCATAGACATGTGTTTTAATGTAGTCTTATAAATGTCAGCTTGTAATCTGCATGTAAGCACTTCACAGAAATAAAGTGGTAGGACAAAGCAAGGTGAAGTGTGAGTTATGAGGCTGTGGAGATGGTGCAGCAACCCAGGTCCTCTGGAATGTGGTGTAGCCCAGCTGTTTTGCTCTTACCAGAGATTTGTTCCAAGGAAAATGTGAAGCCTTCATGGCATGCAAACCAAAGCACAGATGTTGCCTTTCAAGCTGTGATAGACTACAATGAAATGGGCAGAAAACATGCAATAAATGTGAACTCCTTTGAGTTTTCCCTCCCAGACGCTGCAAGTTTCCAAAGAGCTGTTGGTGGCTGCTCTGCTGTTTAGCTGTCCATGCCCTTGCTGCCAGAGCAGTGCACAAGGACCCTACGGCCAGCGGTACCTTGTTTGCCAGCTGCACGGTGCTCCTAGCCCAAGGACTCAGGGAACCTGCAGGAACCAGGGGGATATGTGTTTCTCACCTCTTTTTTAAATGACTGTTCACTTCATTGCAATCCCTGCAACTGCTTGCAGAAGGTGCACAGGAGGAACAGTGCCAGCTCACGTGGTGGGTTCTTCAGTCGTGTCCTGTCAGCACAGGGTCGAGTTTAGTGAAATGCTTCTCTCAGGCACAGCACAGGCAGAATTGTTCATCACATTCACTCATTTCAGCCAAAAAAAGGAGATAACTTCTCTGTCAATGCCTTTGGTGATGAATGTCTGCAAAGGGGGCTGCAAATGCAATCCCTAGAACAGGACCCATCTTTTTATCTCATTGAAGCTCTGCATGCTTCAGTGCGTGCCTGCAAGCTCCCTTCATGCTCTGACTAAAACCTACCACGGAGCCAGTCTGAGCACCTTACGCGCGCCTCTTCCTTCATGAGAAGGGAATTAGGGTTGCAATCTGGACTAGAAGGCTGCATATGAGCCCAGGGAGGAGATAAATCCCCTGGCCGACCTAAATGGATGACCATCGGGATCATGGGTGTGAATGCAAAGCAAGTGTCTTCTCACCCACGCCATCCCATCACAGGATGAGGAGCAGAGCCCACCTGGACCAGGGGAGCTGCAATTTGTCTTCACCAGAGCACAGCACGGTGCACACAGTGAAAGAAATATTTCCTGCAGCACGGCTGTCTGTCCTGCCCTGGGGCAGATTGAAAGCATGTTGCAAGCTGTGGATCTGAGACACAAATTTCTGCATGCATGCAAGAGCTGCAAGGTCCACACCTCGGTCCTCCAAGGGGACTCCCAGAGCGGCTCCTGGGAGGGAGCTGCAGGTGTGTGGCTGGTCCCAGACAGTCCCAGCAAGCTGTGATGGCTCTCTCCCTCTTGTAGCCTCACCCCAACTGATGTAACATCCCCCCAGCCCGGGATCTGCCCATGGATTGCCTGTGGCTCGAGGAGCTTGGCGTTGCTGCCCCTGGCGAGTCCTGCGTGAGATCTGGGGCTGCACTGGGGCAGCACTGGGGCAGCTTGTACCCTTTCTGCTTTCTGTAAGAGCTCCTCTATCCTCTGTCACATGGGAAAACCGCTCAGCTCATGTGGTTTAAATCAAATCAGGATCAAAGCAATTTTTAGACTTTTTAATGACATATAATTAACTGGCAATCAGTGAACTGTACATGCAGGATCAATATCAGTAATACGACAGTCAAACCACAGCACTAGATGCCTAAGAAATGTTAATAAACACCTACAAATTTCAGAATAGCCTTCATAACTAATCCCGAAAGCTCTAACCAGACAGTGTGCACAGTTACGTGCACACCACCTCCTCAGAGGCCACACGGGCCACCAGCATTCACCCCTCTCCTGGCAATGGGGGCTCCCCTACTTGCACACCCCTCTTGTGAGCTGTGGGTGCTCCCCCTGCACACACCCGTGACCAAGACCCCCCAGGCTCACACACAGGCACCCCAGGTGTGTGTCTCCACTGCAGCACCCCATGCTGTCACCCCACCAGCTGGATGCTGGCTCCTCATGGTGTCCAAGGGGGCGGCTGCTCTCCCCAGCCTCAGCAGAGGTTGGGATGCTGGTGGTGCTTCTGGCAGAGTCACGCCAGCTTTTGACTGCTGCTCTTCCCACCCCAAGGTCTCTCCCTGCTGTTACAAATTCTAGTGCTTTACTCATAAGCCTGCTAAAGCTGACTCTGTCTTTGTTTAGAAGTGTCTCTGCAGTTCCTTGGTCACTGTTCAATCCGGCTAATTGTCGCTGTCTTCTTTAACATGCTCAGTTTGGGGCAAATGATGGCAGTTTTGGGTATTCTGCTGCCACATGCTGTATGCACTCACCTTTCTATCTTAGTAGCTGTTTTTAACCAGGCCATTCTGCCAAGACTGGGTTTTTTGAGGACTCCCCCCCCAATTTTGCCAAGTGGGGAATCTATGTGGGTTCACCCACACCACCCACTGCAGTGAAACCATGCAGCCTGCCTGTTGGGCCACTAGTCCCTGGGCCACAAAACTCTGTGTTTTGCCTGTTCACTGGGTGCTGACCTCTACTGTCTCCTTTGCTGTGCAAAAGGGGCTGTGTGACCTTCTGGGCCTGCCCCCGCCACCTCTGTCGCCTCCCCTTCCTCCATCTCTTTTCCCTGGCATGGAGGCCTACCTTCTCTCCTTGCCTTCTTCCTCATCCCCAGGCCTGACTGACCCATCATCCCTTTTTTGCCCACAGCTGCGTGTGCCATCCCTTCTGGGTTCCAGTCCTGTTCCTTCTCTTCCTCTTTGGGGAAGGATTCAGTCATAGCCATATAAAGGTCTCTTGGGCAGGGCTGAGCTACGTATGTCCCTCTCCTGGAAGATGCCCAAAAATACTTTCCTCTACCAGTGCATTGCGTCAAGCCGCATAGGGATGTGCTTTCTATTGGTGTGTAGAAAGATGTTGGTAACACTCCAGTGTTTTGGCTACTGCTGAGCAGTGCTCGCACAGCATCAAGGCTGTGTCTCCAACATTCCCCCCACACCAGCGAGCTGGGAAGGGGCAAGACCTTGGGAGGGGACGTAGCCAAGACACCTGACCCAAACCAACCAAAGGGATATTCCATACTATATAATGTCAGCTCAGGTATAAAAGCCAAGGGAAAAGGGGAAAGTGGGGGGACAGGGACATTTGTTTTTTGTGACGGTTTGTCTTCCAGAGCAGTGGCTATGCGTACTGAAGCCCTACTTCCCGGGAAGTGGCTGGACATCGCCTGCTAATGGGAAGTAGAGAATAAAATCTTGTTTTCCTCTTGCTACCGTGTGCAGCCTTTGGTTTTGCTTTTGCTTTTTATTAAACTGCCTTTATCTTGACCCACAAATTTTCTTTTTTTCCATCTCATTTTCTCCCTGCCTGTCCTGCAATGCTGAAAGATAGAGTGGCTTCGTGGCACCTGGCGTCCATCCAAGGTCAAACCACCACATCCAGATTTGCAGCCTTCCAGATTTCACAGAAAACAAAGTAGGGTTCAGTCCGTTTTTGCCCAGAACATCCTCTTTGAAGTTGTGGAGGAAATTGGAAACACTGTTGAAAAAGTATTCTGTCATACTCAGAGACCAGAGACCAGAGACTTATGGCCGGAAAAGTGCCAGCAAGATTTGGCAAGCTCAGTAAATTCCTTCAGACTGGGCTGATTTTCAGAGTGGGATTCTGTAGTGTCTGTGTGCATGGTGTGTATGTTTGTGCATGTATGCATGTGTTTGCTTTTCTGTAATGACTGCTGTAAATGCAGTATTAAAGAAACCAGGACTACCATTCAGTTATATACTGTCAGGCATTTGACTGCAAACACATACGTGGTCTGCATTTCTCATCAATACTTTTTATTATGTTTCCTTAGCCATATTGCCAACGATGTGCCTTAATATACTTTGTTCTTCTCCTGATTTTTTTAAGCAAATCCCCAAAAGCAAATGATAAGGATGAAATTATGTTAGGCAGCAACAGTAAACTGAAGATATTAATAGTCCTCAGCTTGGCATTTATAAGAGATGAGGATTATTTTTTGAAGCGGCACCCAGTGAATGGTCAAAACAGTTTCTTAATTAACAGTGTTAGGAGAAAGTGCTGGGTATTGCCATGTGGTTTGATTTGTATAAATGGGTCATGGAGTGGTTTTTCTGTAGGTCTCTGCAGCAAAAGGCATATGCTGCACAGCCTACTGCTCCTACCCCAGTTTCAAATCAAGCAGAAGACAATTCAAAAAACAGTTTTTGGGCTTATCCTATTTTTGGATGTTATCCTACAGTTTCACACAATTTGTATTTAAAGGGGATGGATATCTCCTATTTGCATAAGTGAACACTGCCTAATGTGAGTGGCCTGCTGCAGCAGACGCGTGACCACCTCCCACGTGCATCACAACCGACTAGGTGGGCAGGCCAGGACTGGAGGCAGCTGCTGCTGCCTGTGGTTATGGGTTGCATCGGTAAGTCTTGTGAAGCTTGTCCACACTGCAGCTGAGCCATCCACCTACCTCTTCCTCCCTTTTTGTTTCCATCTATTTTATTGTTCTGCCTGAAAGACCTCTGGCCCTTTCCCCAGCCCTGCTCCTGGAAGACATCAGCTGCCCAGGGATGGTCTGGAAGCAGCGCAGTAGAGGCTGAGCCCTGTGGCTGGCACGGGCAGGCATCAGCTCACAGGTGGTGCAGGAGCCGTGGTGTCACCCCATCCTCGGTGGTGGTACCCGCCTGCATGGGTTCCCTCTGCCCCCAGCAGAGCCTCACATTTCACTGCCACTTCTGCCACAGCACCAAGGAGAAACTGTAAGCAGCCGGAAAACAGCCCCACTCACCCCACACCCTCCCGTGCACGGAGCCTACAGCCCCTTTACCTCCCCTTTCCTCCTCCTTTGTAAATGATGGTCTTCTTCAGCTATGAGGATAGTCCGAGTGCCGTTCCCCTCCTGGAGTTAAGGCCCATTATTTCGTACAGTCAGGGAAAGCTCAGGCAAGAAAGAGCGTTTGGGTTGGTAATTGTTTATCCTTTCTGCCACTGCAGTGGGAAAATCCTATCAAAAGCAAGTTAATTATTTAAATGCCTCCTCCATTTTAATTGCTCATTCGGAGCTGTTTCTTACACCTCAGTCACCCTAAGGCTTTTCCTGCTTTGAGCAAACCTGTCATGGGTTTATATTATTTACCAAATAGCGCTGCTGCTGACCACAAATTTACTAAAGGTCTACTTGAGACAAAGCAGCCGCTGTATTACAATACAATTTTAGTCTGCACTGACTTAAAAAATGTTGTATTGTGCTGAAGATAATCGCACGGAGGGCAATTATAGAAGCTGGAGAGGATCAAACACAATAATAGGGATATAAAAGGAAACCTGCATTCTTTATATGCTACTCCCCATGCATGTGAATGCTTCCCTTTTATCTTTCTTTTTACAGACGTTTCCAATTACATAGTAATTACAAATTCAAAAGAATTTTTTTCACACAAACCCATCTGATCTTAGCCACTCTCCTGAGTAATGTTGGAGCAGCTTCCCAAGGCTTGCAGTTAAGTTATCCATTACCAAAAATGCAGGATGTTTTTGTACAAGCTGTGGTGTAGTTCTTTTGGGGTTCAGGCCTTGACCCAGAGCCTTCTGTAGGGGTCAGAATACATGATCGCAGTGACTCCTTCTGGTTTTGTTGTCTATAAAAAAGATATAAATAATATATTTATTATTTGAAAGTTGATTGATCTGAGTATTACTAAAGTATCATTATGATCTAAATCAGTAGTCAACTGAGAGTGCAGTGAAGTGTCAGGATAATTATGCAAGTTGCTTATCATTTATAGCTGCCCTAGAGGATTTGTCCTACTACCTAGGATAAAAAATCAGCACTAGTGATTCTGGTGCGATTTCGGGAGGTGCAAAACAGTGGATCGGTGCCCAAGTAGTGTATGTGGTGGCAGCTGCAAAAACGCTGCGTGAGGAAAGGTGATTAATAGGCACAGGGAGAGCCTTCAGTTTAGATCTGAATCAATCCTGCTCAAAACCTGTAGGCAAGTAGGCAAGCCTGTGGAGCACACAGGACTGAATTTCCTTGTAAAACTTGCATATGGAGGCTTCCAAGGGTGCATGTGTACGCATTATTAGAATTTGGTTCAACAGGCAGGTAAGAGCAGAAAGGCAATGACAAATACCATTTCCTTGTAGGCCTCTTCAAGGAGAACTCTGTTGCAAAGATAGTCAAGGGACTTTATTCCAAATCACCTTGAAATGAGAGTTTTTCCATTTGCTTCAGTGGGCCAAAGGCCATTTATCATGTGCACTGAGAGGCACTGAAAGGGAGGAGGGTTGCCCATGTGCCCCGGTCCAGAGTGAGCTCAGGCAGGCAACCACTGCCAGTGGAGAGAGGGAAAAGAAAGGTAGGGTAGCAGGTGATGTTTAAGACCCCCTAAGTCATCCTACTAAATTCATCCCTGTGTTCTGTGTTTGTAGTTAAATTCTTCCAACACCAGCTGCTCTGAAAAATGCTGCCATTTATGTTCTTTTCAGCTTCTACATGACTGTTTTTCTGTTTGTGTGAGGAGTTATAGGAAGCATTTGCTTGCTATTATGCTGCTATTTATCAGAATATTTCCCAGAATTGTTTTATACCATACCAGGTAAAGGTCATCATAACAAAACGCCAATCTTGCACCTTGCAACTTTGACGTTGCTTGTTTGTCCACAGGGTCAGCACATAATCAGAGCCTCTTCAAGCTTGCATCAAGTCCTGTTCTTGAGGCTCACTTCCACAGCCTTTGAGATGCCAAGAACTTGAATTTGTGTCTCTCTCTCTCTTTTTTTTTTTTTTTTTAGCATTCTCAATCAGGGTCAAGGATCAGCTTTTTGGAGTATCATATTCCATGAAACAGGAATGGCCAAGAAGTTTCTGTTCAGGACATCTCTCCCTCTGTCTATCTCTGGAAGCACATTTATATGTAATATGTTCCAATATCTAGACTTAGAAAATATCATGATCAGAAAATAATATTGCAGGAGAAAGAACCCATTGTTTATCATACCTGTACAGCATGTAACACAGGCAAATTAATCACCTAAACAAAACAAAAATTTGAATGACATGCTAGCATTAATTTCACAAATAGTCATCTCATGATCCATTTTGAACAAAGTTTTTGTGCTTTTGATTGCATGAAAAATGGATGCCCTTTATGTCTTCTATGATAAAGGACAGTATCTCTTGAAAGATCACTGGGGATTATGCAGAACATGATAATATGCCCATAGCAAACATGGTGTACAGCAGACCTGAATACAAGATGAAGAGCCCTCCCCATGTTCAGGTCCCCTTGCACATCCTGAAGGGGAAAGCCACCAGCTGCTGTGACCCGTGGCATCTTTGCAAGCACGAGGGGTGTCTTCTGTTTGCCTGATGAAATCTCTTTCTCACTTCCCTGAAATAAAGTGTGTGAAAGTAAAAAAAGAGGAGAAAGATAAAGGGAAACCCCAAACTTTCCATTTTCATTTGTCTTCTAGTGATTTATGTTGCCTTGTTTCTCATATATCTGCCATTGCTAGGAACTGGCTCTAACTGCTTGGCTGCTTCCTGGGAGCAATGGCCAAACCAGCAGATACTTTTGTATGAGAGAGAGAGATTTGGTGTCTTTACTCACTGTAAACATACTTGTTGGTCTGGATATAGACTCCTATGTATCAAAACCTTCTGGGCAGAATGGAGTTTGAAGATATAAAAGTCTTTCATTATATTAATATCATCAGTCATTAATTAGGAAGATATTTTCTTTTTGCCAGCTTATGATCTTCATGGGGGGTCTTTTTCAGTGTGATTTAGTTTATGAGGTCTCTGGGGTTCTTTCATCATCACCAACTATTTTTATTTATGCTGTAAACAATAAGTTGTATAAATGTCTCTTTTGCTGTTATGCCGCAGAAATCTTGACAATGAGCAAGCAGCCGTGCACCAAGACCCCTTCCTGACAGCCTGATATTGCTGTTTCGCTCTACCATGTGTTGCCTCTTAATTTATATACATAAGTTATTTGTTTGTGTCAAAGGCTTTTCATAGTTGCTTTTATGCAGTACACAACACAAAGAGGTGATGGTCACACTGAAGAAAGATGCACTATACCATGCTCTGACTGGAAAAAGGGGCAGCAATATTAATTGGTACTGTTTTGGTGGGATTTATCTGTCTGACCTCCTAATGACTCATTCCATATGACTACACATACACACACACATCTGAACCCTTGGATTAATAGAGGATGGGTTGGCAGCAAGGTAGGTACCAAGGATGCTCACCAGCTCTGGATCACAGCAGCTGAGCCTGATTTATTATCACTAAGCAGGGTGCCAAGAGGCGATTCTGGCATACTGGGAGTTGGGGACATACAGAAGAGTTCAGAAATAGTATTATGCATCTCAAGATATGTGGTGTGTGAATGTATTTGTGGGCTGTCTGGTGTGCATCCTGGTTGCAGTAATGTGTTTCTATTGATATAAAATACTCAGGGTGGAATTGGACACTTAAAAGTTTAATCTACATGTGTTTTAAAAGAAAGCAGCAGCAGAATCAGCAGGGAAAGCACTTGATTTCCTCCTCCCTTCCTCTCTGTGCCACAGAAGAGTGATCTGTGCACAGCTGTGACTTTGCTCCCTTTGACGCCAGACTAGCAGCAGAGGAACTCCAGGGTCGAGTTTCTGGAGACCACCAAAGGCCAGTCTGTGTTTATCAGTACTTACCACCAGTTCTTTCAGCTGTGCTTTCAAGGCTTGGCCTTTCTGGGTAGAGACCAGGATCATGGAGACCTGAGCACCCAACTCCACAGCTGTGGCTCAATCAGGCTTTGAAAGGATATGTTAGGGCACAAGATATGGCCCAAACCCCAATAGTGCCTGAGGCACAATATTTTTTTCTGTATTAGCCTCTAGCTGGAAAGCAAGGCATGCAAATAGTCCTTGTGTTAGGAGAGATTTTTACAAGATCACTTGTTTGACCAGTGGTTGACCACTGTCAGTGGTAACACCATCAGCAGTTGACGGTGGTTGGCCACTGTCTTCAGCCTTTCCTAGTGCATTTGCTTATTATGGCAAGGCTCTTGAGTCCACTTCTCTTCAAAACAAGAGCCCTCAGCTAACTCAGGGCATACATTAACAGTCCAACTGATGTGTCTGTTCTGTGTTGTCTCCTATTCTGTGTTCTCTGCCCCATGCTAAGAAAGAAATACATTGATAAGTGCCTGTGGCACTGCAAAAGTAAGATGGGAAAATGTCATGAAAATACCAGAAATTTCTCCTTTACCACCTTGTCCTGAAGTCAGTGCTGGGGTGTTCACAAACTGCATCATTTGCTTTGTGATGTCTGATGCAGCCATTAATCATAGCTCAAATGGGGGGAAAAAAAAAAAAAATCAAACCCAGCCCAAACCACAGATCCACAGGATTTTTCTCCTGCTCTTTCTAGTGCCCCACCAGCATGCTGTGCAGTTCTTCCATCTGCCCCATAGATTGTGTCCACACTGGGGCAAATGTACAACACCCGTGGTGGCACTGATAAGGGAGGAATTAGCGCGCACCTGCAACTTCCAAGTTAGACAGGTAAACTCTGAACGCAATAAAATGGTGGCGAAAGATGTCGATCGGTTATTTAGTGGCAATGTGACTTACATGCCAAATCCACCTTGTGATTAGCATCACCCTTCATCTCAGGAAGGAAGGCTCAAGCGTATTTTGCAGACTTGATTAATAATTTATTTGGCATCTGGAAGTCACAGCAAAACAGCTCATATGGAAAGGGAGGATGTAAATCGTCTGCCTCTCCCAGGCACTACCGGATTATTATTCACAGCTAAAATACTATTTGTAAAATATTTGTGTATTTAATATTTTAAAGAGCAGCTCTGGCACTTGGGTTGATTTTGGCATTCTCGAGGTGGAGGGGGCTGTGTGTGTGCTACAGATACTGTCAGCTGGAAGACATGCTCTCATCGCCAACTGAACGAGCCAAAAGCGGATTTTAGTATGCGAGGGAGCAGGCACTAGAATAAGGGGAGATTAATGTGAGCTTAGCGCCCTTTGAATGAAGGTTGTCATCCATGGAAGACAAGGGGAGCCTTCCAAGCTGGGACTCCAGTCCCACACAGAGCGCACACACTGGCTACCCTAAAGGGGGCATTGCTGAAGCTCTGTTCAGAGCATATTAAATGCAAGGAAGTTGCTTACAGATTTTACCGCCATACAGGTGATCCATTACTGTCTTTCTGCAGGTATCACTCAGGGATGACCTCAATCAGGTTGTGACAGCTTCCCCGATCGTCTTCTAGGAACTCACCTGCTAATATAACACAGTATTTTAACCTAATTCTACTGCCATGCCACTTCCTCGCTGTATGATATCTGCAGTATTTCTTCTCAGAGCTGTAATTCTATTTACCAACCACAGATCCTCATGAGTTGCTAATAGCTCTCTCATTGTCTTATCAAGAGGTTTTTAATAGAGGAGGCCACTTAATCAACTGAAAAGGGAAAGAAAACTGCTAAATGCTGTGTCATATTCAAGCTAAAATTTTCCTTTTTTTAAATTTTTTTTTCCTTTTTAAGAGATTGAAATTGCAGTAGCTGAAAAGGGCTAGCTGCTGTGCTCATTTTTGGCTTTCACAACCATGACATTCAAAGAGTGCCCAAGTTTATATACCTAAATCCACAACTTGACCTACAATAATAACAGAAACAAAATATTATTTTCTGTTTATTTAACCCTGTTGTGTGGACTGTACTCTCATTATTGTTTACAACTTCCAGGGGGCAACATCCATTGAGTCCAACCCAGACCAGCTTTCCCCTATGTTACACTCCTCACCTACATAGCCCAAGATATTGAAGAGCAATTTGGCTGAGGTGGGAGGGTGGACTAGATGACCTCTCAAGTTCCTTGTGAAGACTTGGTGTGCAACGGTGGTGGCTGGGGACAGTGCTGACCTGAACAGCAGCGTGTCCAGACACACAGCTACGTTGTGTGAAAAACTGTACCTTGTGGTGGCAGTCTTAAGGATGTGACTTACAGGTGCCTAAACAAGCACCTGGACCCTAGGCAGTATCCCAGAAACAAAGACAACAAAGATGGGAAAGGAAGCAGATAGGAGATGAGCAGTGGGTTTGTGACAGAGCCAGGACTTACCAAGCAGTCTGGTTGCTATTCATTTACCCACGCTGTCTCTCCTGGCTAATTTGATGGCCTAAATGAAATTGTTGGTGAAGAAAGCAGTGTGAGCATGCACAGTGTGCTGTGATTAGAAGGGGCACTGCCAGGGAGAGGAGCATCAGAGCAGCCAAGCAGAAGTTTGCTGTGCATTCCCTCTGCCTTTTCTCCTGAGAGGTACTTGCCTTTTATTCCCAGCTCCTTCACTTCCAGTTCTGTTGTTGCAGCTTGCACCTCTTCTCTGAAATGTAAAATGCAGTTGCTTTCAGTGCAATGGAGGCAAAGGGAGCTAATGTTCCTTCTGCTCCTGGGTCGAATAAAATGCCACAGCACTGATTCTGCATTGCAGGGAGGGAATGACCTAGCTCTCAATAACCAAAAAAAATCATACAGTTATTGAAATATTTGGGGTCACTGGTTATCAAGATTTTTTTTGCCAAATTCTCCCCATACAGAATATAAAAGCCCCATAAAAAGATTACTGCTTGTTGGCATTTGGCCACATTTGTAAGTCAATTGTGAGTAGCTAAATCAAACCAGTGTTGGAGTGATTTAACCCTGAATACAACAGAATGTACTGGCCTTTGGCTATTCCACCCTGGTTTAAGAAAAAAAAAATAATCCAAAGATTTTTCCTAATAAATCAGAGATGGTGTGGGCTCGTCCATGCCTTGCCATAACTGTTTAGGAGCATGAATTAGAGCTGTTGTGTCCTGGAAGTTGGAATGCTGTTTGAGTGGGGGCTCCCAAAGCTGTTTCACTTTGGCACATCTGAGAGACGCCAGGCGAACGTGCCTTCCTTGCTGTGGAGGAAGCAAGCAGGGCTTGGTAGCAGACCCAGAACCACTTGGTGGCATATTCATTCTCTGTTACTCCCAGGGTGCAACTGGGGATCCCAGTCGATGGCCAGAATTCAGTGTCCCTGATTCACAGGGGTCCCATGTGCTGCCTAGGGTCAGCTCATCTCCTTGTCACATTCTTGGAGTGCCATTACCTATTTTTGCTGTCCCCTCCTTAGTAACAATATCTGAGCTGGAAATAGAGGCTTCCTGCCCCTTGTCCCTCCCCAGTGCACTGGCTGAGCACAGATGTGATTTGGGCTCATGAAATCTACTGCCTTATCTGAAGGAGAAAAAAGGAAGCAACCTTGAAGAATGGGTAACCTGCAAGGGTGCACAAACACATTCGAGAACTGCACACAGCACTCACCCAGCAGTGTCTGGATGGTCAGTGGGGAAACCAGGTGGAATTTGTTTAGCTTAACACTAAAAAGCACAAGGTTGAAAACCAGCAGCCTGGCCCTGGTCTTTTAAGGATCCAAATTCCTTTTTTTGGTGTCAGGAGAGCAAGAACTTAGGAAAGAAGAACAAGATTTACGTATTTAACCCCTTTAGCCCAGTGAAAGGATGAGCTATACTCCAAAGCAGACTTTCAGAAGCTGACAGCACAACAGTGATTGACTGCATATTAATCCCCAATAAACATTTTCCAGGATGAATGGCACAGTTCAGATGACATTAAAAGGGACAACACCCTGCAAAGCACTAAGAAGCAAGCAAGCAAGCAGATACATCAGAAAATGCAATGATAGTAAAGCCAGCTTTGAAAAGAACAGAGACCTTACAAGCCAGGCTTACTTTACCCTGCAGTAAGGGAAGATTAATAATGAACGTAGATTGCTCAAATGAATCATATCATAATGGATGCCCTGAACATCTTGTGATGGATGGCTAGACAGCATTTAGTGCCACTAACACTGGTGATTGAGCTGGAATACAAAGCAGGTAGGAAGGAGGTTTGGGTCAGAGAAAGGCACAGGCAGCGTCTGTCAGGAGGAGGGCAAAACCCACCTCCTGGGGACCAGCCATATCCTCCAACCTGTGATACGGGGGAAAAAAACAATGAAAAGGGAGCAGCCACTGCTCAGACAAGGACAGCAATGTCAGGCAGTGCAGAGACTGATGGATGTGTTCATGAGCAATCTTTATCACCTGGAGCTTCAGCATGGATAGCTGCAGAATTACATTGCATTAGGAGCTTGCATGAAACTGGTTTTCTGCCCTGTGGTCTGCTCAACCCGAACAGCATTTTGAATTTGCAGTTTGGGTAGAAGCCTGAGCATTTCACACCAATTCACTGTAGACAGAGATAAGACTATTAATAGGTGCTCTGTACATAATATCTTTTTCCTAATACAGCAGTGGCTCTTCATTTTACTGGCAAAGGTATCAAGAGTTTGCTAACTGGCACCTGATAAATGCCACGTCTGCCTCCCTGGGACACCCACCAGTAAATAAATTCAGTGCGAGCTACTGAAACATTGCTAGGTGGTGAACAAGTGCCATGCAGGGCTGGCTGGCTGGACCAGAGGAGCCACAGAATTTCAGAGACTGTCCCCCACTACGTGCCACTGCCAGCCCCACCAGGGCCAGTTCCGGTCTTCTCTGACATCTGTCTTTCCCAGACCATGAAAAGTGTAGCTGAACCACTGGAGAAAAGTCAGAGCCTGTGAAACTGGTAAGAGCTACAAAGAAGAAGAAGAAGAAAAAAAAGAGCATAGCAATTTGTTTCCTGCACTGGCGATAGGCACAATCTGAAAAAAAAACCAACAGAAAACCAAACAGAAAGAAAGAGGCTCTCATTACCCCCCTTGCTGGGTAGAAGCAAAACTAATTAAAAAAGCAGCAGGAGAAGGGGCGTACCACAAAATCTCACTGCAAAAGCATGGCCCCTTTCTTCTTTTTTTGCCAAATGTTTATACATTTTCAGGGCCTGCCCATCAGAAGTTGTAGGTGACAAACTCTAATAAGTTGCTAGACCCTGCCTTCTCTTCTGAGACTGATGTTTCTCCAAGTGTGAAGCAAGAAATGGAGATGTTCCCAGCTGCAGCACAACTGCTCTTCCCTTTCTGACTGCACTATAGCCCATTGGCAACTGTCGCCTTCACTAATGGGGAAAGCAGCTTAAAAAGGGAGGAGAGGCTATCACCAGCCTTTGGGTGCCATTGCAGCAGCAACACATAAAATGAAGCCAAACTCACAAAGTCAGTCACTGTGGACCATCAGTGACTGGTACCTGTGTCAGCACACCACAGGGGCAGAGGGAGAAAGGCGACAGGGCAGGAAGGAGGGAAGGAAGAAAGGAAGGAAGGAAGGAAGGAAGGAAGGAAGGAAGGAAGGAAGGAAGGAAGGAAGAAAGGAAGAAAGGAAGAAAGGAAGAAAGGAAGAAAGGAAGAAAGGAAGAAAGGAAGAAAGGAAGAAAGGAAGAAAGGAAGAAAGAAAGAAAGAAAGAAAGAAAGAAAGAAAGAAAGAAAGAAAGAAAGAAAGAAAGAAAGAAAGGTGGGAAGGGAGGAAGGGAGGAAGGGAGGAAGGGAGGAAGGGAAGAAGGGAAGAAGGGAAGAAGGGAGGAAGGGAAGAAGGGAGGAAGGGAAGAAGGGAGGAAGGGAAGAAGGGAGGAAGGGAGGAAAGAGGAAAGCGGAAAGAGGAAAGGGAGAGAGGGAGGAGGAAAGAAAAGAGGGAAGAAGGAATGTATTACTGTACTAAAGACATGGGAACTGTGTGTTATACAGTGTCACAGATACACCTGTAAGTAGCATGTTTATAAGCAACCTATTGCCCTAACAGGGTCTATGATTAACAGCAAAAAACTTACCAGTTAAATATAACTGCCAAGCATTAATTCCCCTACTAAAAACAGCCCAGGAAGTGTATGACCGAAATCTCACCGTGGTCCTGTAATATGTGTGAAGTAAACACAGCCCTTCAAATGTATCCTTACTCTGAGGCAGCCTTTCCTTCCCCAGGCATTGACTCTTGGTCATGTCCACTGTATTGAGGGCATGAAACAAAACAGCAGGTGGAAATAAAATAAAAAGCCTGAAAACTTTGCTCTGAAAGTCAACTCTCCAAGACTACGCACTCCTATATTAAGCAGATTTGCCTCTGTGTCAGTCAGATCCTCTCCTAAGTGATTAAAAGAAGCTTTCACTTGCAGAAGAGCTGACACAGCCCAGAAAATGATTTACATAATGCAGAGAGAAGTTACTCATTACATTTCTGCTGCGTTTAAGACTGTGATATGATATGATTCTCCCCCAGACAGCCAAGGTCTGAGCCTGCACTCTCAGCCCAGGGAAG